GTCTTTATTAAAATGCATTATGGAATGGATGTGTTGAGGCCTTACCGTAATCCTTAATCTAAATTATATATATTTAAGTCAAAGATTGTCAAACCTACCCTAAAGCTACGGCTTATATACCTAAAGATGCATGTGTGATAAGAGATGAGAGAGAGTGATAACGAATACCATTGTACAACACAAGTAATACATTTGATCACCCGATCGATGAGAGGTCAGTGGTCAACCCGATCAAAACAAGTAGTCCAAACCCAACTCACAGCGTGAATACACGGTCGATTGTGCGCGACAAAACGAAAGACAAATTTTCTTGATCCAAGGTCCGAAATTGGGTTTTAGTGCTTGTCCGCGACTTTAGTGCAAAGTGGGAAAGCAGAAGATTATTCAATTCCTCCAACGGTGCGCGATCGATGTGTGCTAGTCTTGCGCTCTAGTGAAAGAGCGAAGATAGCAAAAATAAGTGCTAGTTAGTGTAGCCATTCTACTGGCCCTTTTGGCAGCCGTTTCGACGGCGAAGAAAAACCTTCGGTCCAGCAATTACAGCCAACTGGCTTTGTACATTTTGGTCCTTCGAGCCGGATCGAAGGAGACCCAGGTCAGAAGGTTTAGTGCACGAGTGGTGACTAATTTCCCGATCCGTTCGACCAAGTGATAGCCGGCAAGAGACCGTATAGAAATTTGCGCCATTGCATTGGTGGCTCGCAATTGCGCCAAGTGTTGTGCGGAATACTGGATACGCCAGATTCCATTTGTGTGGCTACTGAATAGCCGTTAACCATTGCTGCTGGCATTGTACGATCCCCGAGAAAGAATAGTGTGTGATCTCCGGCAAGCAAAGCATTGTTGCTGTGCCTTGCTTTGATAGGAGAAGTGTGCTGCAATTAGCCTAATAGAATTTGCCCGTAGTGCGGCCCAAATTGAAGAGTGATTATTGATTTTTTGGCCTTATTGGCGGCAATGCAGATACGAACGACACGTTAAAGTGACCATAGTGACAGTGTTTGCACCGATCCGCGAATTCGCGACGCAATCCGTGTATTTCGGCGAGAAGGATTTTCGTCCGACGAAAATAATCGAGGATTATTTCGATATCGTCCGCGTCGGGAAGGAGCATTTCGAAACCGTTTTTCGCGATCGTTTCGTACTAGATCGGTGCAAAATGCTGGACAAGAAGATCGAAAAAAGGCTGACTGATTTGGAAATCGTGAAGAAAGGCCTGTACGTGCATCGCGATGGCGTTGAATGGTTTGTGAAGGACTTTCAAGAAGATCGTGATTCATGCCAGATACCCGTGCGGCTTGAATCTCTGGACAGAGTGTACCACGAATTCCTGGAAGCGCAAGGTGAAGTCGAACGGTTGGATGACGAAGAACAGCTGAACGATCACCTGACGGAACGAGCCAATTTCGAAGCACGTTATTTACTGTTCGGCGAAAGGCTTCTTGCTGTCCAAGCGAACAGCAGATACCAACCAAGTGGCACTCAACTCATCGATCCATCCTGCACCAGCCAATACAGGTACATTCCACCTTAGACTTCCGCAGATTGACCTCCCCAAGTTTAACGGGGATTTCTCGAAGTGGTTGTCGTTTTGAGACACCTACACGTCGATGGTGCATTCGAATGCGGATATTCCCACCGTGGCAAAACTCCAATACCTCATCCAGTCACTCGTAGGCGAGGCACGCAAGCCGTTCGAGAGCGTGGACATCGAGGCCGATAACTACGCTGCCGTGTGGGATGCCCTGCTAAAAAGGTATGATAATCGTAGATTTTTGAAAAAGCAGCTTTTCCGTAGTATCCATGACTTCCCATCGTTGAAAAGGGAATCCGCCAACGAGTTACACGAGCTCGTGGACGAGTTCCAGCGGCACGTGAAGGCCCTGGCAAAGTTGGATGAACCTGTCCAGTATTGGGACACCCCCCTCGTAAACATCCTGTCCTACAAGCTCGATCCAGCTACTCTTCGTGCGTGGGAAGAAAAGACCAGCCAGCAAGACGACGTCAAGTACAACGACCTTGTTGAATTCCTGTACCAGCGTGTACGAATTCTGAAATCCGTAGCATCCGATCTGCTACAACGCTCCCAGCCGGTTCAAGCAAAGGTGGCTGGCAACTTTCCTCCTCCAAAGAAGTACATTCAACCCAAGGTTGCTGCCAACGCTGCTGCATCTGATAGCAGGCCAAACTTGCCTTCTTGTTTCGCTTGTTCCGAACGACACTTCCTCTTTCAGTGTCAAGCTTTCGCTAAATTGCCCGTCAGCCAACGGAGAGAGCTGGTATCCCAACGAAAGCTGTGTTGGAATTGCTTCCGAACAGGTCGAGAACGGCACCATACGTTGCTGCATGATTCATCCCAGTCTGGTAAGAGTTCGTCCACCCCGCCGTGATGTCAAATTTCCACGAAACGGCGCAAGTTCCACCCATGTTGGCTACCCGAGGACCGTCTACCTCATCCCAACAAATAAGCATGTCGGTTCAGTCCCACGCCAGCACGGTTCTCCTTGAAACAGTCGTTCTCCAAATCGTTGACGATCACGGACATGTTTTCCAAGCCCGAGCTCTACTGGATTCCACTTCGATGTCGCATTTTATGTCTAAGGATCCTGCGAATCTGCTCTCCAGCTCCCAATCCAAGGTTGATCTGTCCGTAGCTGGAATCGGACAATCCCACCGGAAGATCAAGCATGTAGTAGCCACTACAATCCAGTCAAGAGTCGGATCGTTTTCTACGAAACTCCAATTCCTCGTGATCGAGCATCCCACTGCTGATCTACCCACCATATACGTGCAGATTACTTCATGGAACCTTCCGAACGTGCAGTTAGCTGATCCTGAGTTTCACATTCCCAACAAGATCGACTTAGTCATCGGTGGTGAAGCGTATTGGGACCTACACACCCACCGGTAAGAAGCTCGATCTAGGTCCAGGCCTACCCCACATCATTGAGACATACTTTGGTTGGACATTCTGTGGTTCAACTTCTCAAGATTCCTCTAATACGATGGTATGCCAAATGTCTAGCACTGATGCACTTCTGGATGCCACTCTCCAAAGGTTTTGGGAGATTGAGACGATTCCGAACCAATCCGTTCATTCCGCTACCGAAAAGGCCTGTGAAGAACTCTACATGACAACCACAACCCGAGATCCTACCGGGCGATACGTAGTTCGCCTACCAAAAACGGACAATCCGGCAGTCGTTTGGGGAAATTCGGAATCCATTGCCGAACGCCGATTCCTCAGCTTGGAACGCCGACTCGAGCGTGATCCCAGCACCAAATCCTCTTACCACCAATTCATGGAGGAATATGAACGTCTCGGGCACATGGTACAGATTGACGAACCTGTGGACAACACGATGCCGCACTGCTACCTTCCACATCATCCCGTGTTCAAGCTCTCGAGTACCACCACGAAGACGAGAGTAGTGTTTGATGCATCGTGTAAGACAGTATAAGGCTATTCGTTGAACGATCTACTTCTTGTCGGACCAGTCGTTCAAGACGATTTACTGTCGCTCGTCATGCGGTTTTGCTTCTACCCCATTGCCCTCAACGGTGACGTCGAGAAGATGTACCGTCAGATGCTTCTCCACAAGGCAGACTGACCGTACCACAGGATCAAATGGCGCAAGGATGCATCCGAATCGATAGCTACCTACGAGTTGCAGACCGTGACCTACGGCACTGCTTCTGCCCCGTATCTTGCCACTAAAACTCTCCAAAAATTGGCGAGTAATGCAGGTCACTCATTCCCTACCGCTGTGGAACCAGTGGCCAAGAACTTTTACGTCGATGACTTTCTGTCAGGTGCCGATAATGTCGAGTCAGCCATCCAAATTCGACGTGAAGTATCAAAATCAGTATTTAAGGAAATTGGTTAATTGTTCCGTATTTTTTTTAACGACATGTTTCCTGCATAGGAAAATACAGTTATGAACATTTCAAAGGTAAATTTAATCTAGTAAACCTTATTTAACCAACAAAAATGTTAAAATTGTATTTTTATCGATTTCGTGTTTCAGGCACATTAGCCAATTTCTCATTTGTGGGCGCTGAGTATGATTCGTTTTCAGTAAATGAAAAAAATTCAATCCAACCCCGTCAATCCAATTTAAATTTTTGATCATTTTGTCTATCAGCTGTGAACCGTTAGACTTATCACATTACAAACGACAATGATAAAAAAAAGTTTTACAATTATGAGGAAATCAAGGATATAATGTTCAGGTTATGTTCAGTTATGTCCAAAATAGGGAAACACTTCCATCTCAAATTGCAAAAATAAACAGTGAACCAAACACTGCTGTGGGAACCCAACGTTGAGTATAATTTTATTCACCTACTTTTGGGTACAACTAACTTACTTTTGGGTGGAAAGCGAGTAGAAAATTCCATACGAATTGCACACAACTAAATGAAAACTACTTTGACCCGCTTTACTTACTTTTGGCTACCTGCAATATAGTGCCGGGATGAGTGAAAGTAAGTACTACTTTAGAGTACTTTTTTCTTACCGTTTAGGGTAAAGTTTCCCCAACATTATGGTGGCGAGGGCGAGCTAAGAGTTTTGTCAAATTGACATTTGAATCTTTGTTTACAACAGCAGACCCGGCTATTTGCGTTGACAGCGACTCTGTAGCTCTTTACTCCTATGAGAAAATCCATAGGCAAACGTCGTGAAATATGGCAAACTTCATACTATCCTTTCGATCCTTTCACTCCACCAAAAATTCCCATAAGAAACTGCCTATATTTGCTGGAAGAGAAGATTTTTCGACGGTGCCGTCAACGCCAATTTGAAAATTCATTCTTGGAAATATCTTTTTTTTTTACTGACCGAAATATATTTGTTTGGACTGACCGACTGAACGAAAATCACCCCTTAAAACACCATCCACAATCTAAACTCCATTGGGAACGTTCGCACGTCACTCGCAGCTGTGAGCACGCACTTCTTCACATCAATTAATTTCATTACAACGCTCCATACTCACCAAGCATGCGAATGATCGCTTTCCTAGATTGGGATATCCTCGAGGGCCCATTAACGGATCCGTTTCGCACTCCTGAAAGTAGAAAAACGTAGAAAAACTAGCAAATTCAATTCTGTACGGCACTCATGGGGACGCAAACATGATTTATTCAACTAATTTCATTTTCGAACGTTCCACTTTTCGGCACGTTCTTAACGTTCCGCGGACTATGGACGTTACAATTGCCCGTTGGTGAAGATTGACGTGAAGCACATGCTTGTTGTTCTTTGCTGAGCGGCATCAACATCAGAGCTCATAACAATCACACCATGATTTTACAGCGGAGAGAAGAAAAATCTTTATCCCGATATTACGTACCTAGCTCCTCGGTCCGCTGCGTCCGGGACCGAATCTGCATTCCCATTCGGCCGTAGAGAACAATCATCACCACCATTGGCACGGCGAAAAATAGGCATGTCGACAGCTCCCACAGGGGAATTCCTTCCGGATTGCTCAGCATCGCGCAGAATGCCGAATCCTCGATTTTCTCTTGTGCTGGAAGTTGGGGGAATGGAGGAGAATGCGATAGGAAATGGTTACCAAAAATAAACAAAACTGGAAGGCAATTGTACGCGAGAAGGAAAATTTGGTTTTCGCTACGATCCAATCTCCCTGATAAAATATCCGCCTTAAAATGAAAGCAGTTGGTGGCGGCCCAATTTTCAAATCAATTTTAAAGTAATATTACCTACTGTATCCCATGTTTGTTCGATGATTTTCTCAATCAAATGGTATTTTATTGGTAATGGTTGCGATTCTTTTTTACTACAGTCATCTCTTCATATCTCGATGCATCGATAAGTCACAACTATTTTCTATCTATGTCGATGGTTATTTCGGTCCCTTCGAACGGTCTTGTTAGCCTAGTTTAATTCAATATCCGTCCTTATACCTACTGCCGGTCATCGCGTTTTTGTCAAAATTGAGGTTTTCATTGAAAATGATGGTAGCTAATCACCCATATTTCCATGATACTAAATGAACTCAACAATTTTATTCAGGAAAAGTTTTGAAAATCAGCCAAATGGGTTGTCCCATTATTGACATAAGGAGCAATGGTACGATGCAAATTTAACCCTCCGTTACTCGCGCTGTTGTACTTTGTATACACATACACACATGAGTTTTCCATTGCCATTTTGTTGCTGAGTTACCAATCGATCTGAAACCATCGAGTATTCCTCAAAAAACTTGTTTTGATCTAAACAAGCTAAACTTTGATTACAGTAAACACCTAAAAAATGCGGATAATAAGGAAAATGTAAATGGAAACCACGTGACCATACTACGTGGGATTTGACTTAATTGATTACAACATGGAATATATCGAGATCCTGACCAGATGGAAAGTTTCTGTCTCCGACAAAGTTTTTCAGGAGATCATCGCCTAGTCGCTGGCGGACAGTAGTTCAGTATTTTCTCACTACGTGGCGCTAGTATGCATGTGAAATTCTCGCATGTGATATATCTCGAGATCCTGACCAGATAGAAAGTTACTGTCTTTTACAAAGTTTTTCAGGAGGTCAAAGTCTATTCCTTGGTGCTCAATAGTTGAGAATTAGATCACTACGCGACGCTAGTATGCACGTGAAATTCTCATATAAAATATCTCGAGTTCCCAACCAGATAGAAAGGTACTGTCTTCGGCATTGTTGTTCAGGTGGTCAAGGTTTTTTCGCACGTGGACACTAGTTCAGAGTTTTCTCACTTTGCGGTGCTACTATACATGTGAAACTCTTGCATATAAAATATCTCTAGATCCTGACCAGATAGAAAGTAAATGTTTCCGGCGAAGTTTTTCAGGAAGTCAAGATCTTTTTGTTGGGTGACAATAATTCAGAATTTTCTCACTATGCGGCGCTAGTATATACGTGCCTTTCTCGCATATTCAATAGCTCGAGATCTTGATCAGCTAGAAAGTTGCTGTCTTCGGTAAAGTTGCTTAGGGGGTCTAGACATTTTGGCTGGTATACAGTAGTTAAGAATTTTCTCACCATGTGGCGTTAGTATACATTTACCCTTCTTGCATATTCTATTAGACTGATGCAAAATTTGAAATTTTTGCTCCACAGTGCTTAAACGGTTGCAAATTAGGTCCTGCTTAGCCTCCCAAAATTTGAACTGCTTTAGTAAGAAACTGACTTGGCACAAACCATTTCAAGTTTATATGGGAATTACTATGGGAAAACTTATGTTTTTGTTCATATCTATCTAACAATTCACCACATAACTATGCTTCTAAAAATGATAGCAGTCGTTGTAGCAAATGTTCTCTACTACAACTTTGTTGAAAACCACTTTTCAATCAAATATGAGGAACAAAAATTATTAATGATTCAAGTCACTGATGTCTTATGATTATGCTCATTCAACTGTTCAGCAGGCAACATTGGTGTTTCTTGTACGAAGAATAGAGCACAAATATCATGGCTACTATGTCACACTGCAGAATACAGTGTTGCCCACAGAAGAGCTGCTTGATCATGCCATAAGATTATCAATCTCTTAAACAATTAATAACAATTTAATTTGACATTTGGCTGAAAAACAATATTGCGCAAGTTGTAGCTTGAGAAAGAATAAGCCGTAAGAATAGTGATAGAAATTTTCTAAAAAGCAATATGGAAAATGGGTAGAAGACAATGAACAAAAAGTTTGGGTTTCCCATAGTCATTTCCATATAAACTTCGAATAGTTTGTGCCAAGTCAGTTTCTTATCAGTTTAAATTTTGGGAGGCTAATCAGGACCTGATTTGAAACCGTTTGAGCACTGTGGAGCGAAAATTTCGAATTTTGCATCAGTCTAATATTCTATATCTCGAGATCCTGATCAGATAGAAAGTTACTGTCTACGACAAAGTAGTGGCTGGTGGACAGTAGTTCAGAATTTTCTCACTTCGTGGTGCTAGTATACATGTGAAATTCTCGCATACCAGATAGAAAATTACTGTCGTCGCCAAAGTTGTGCAGGATATCACAAAATTTTTGCTCGTGGACAGTTGTTCAAAATTTGCTCACTACGTATCGCTAGTGAAATGTAAAATTATCGCCTGTGATATACCTCGAGATCCTGACCAGATAGAAAGTTACTGTTTTGAACAAAGTTGTTCAGGAGGTTAAAGCCTATTGTTGGTGCACAATGTTTCAGAATTTTCTCACTACACGGCGCTAGTATTCACGTGACATTTTCACGTATAAAATGTTTCAAGATCCTGACAAAATAGAAAGCTACTGCCTTGGGAAAAGTTGTTCAGGAGGTCAAGGTCTTTAGGCTGATGAACAGTAGTTCAGAATTTTCTCAATGCGTCGCGCTAGTATACACGTGCAATCCTCACATATGCTACAGCTCGAGATCCCGAACAGCTAGTAAATTTCTGTCTTCGGAGACAGGAGATCAAATTTTTTTTTGCTGGTGAACAATAAATAGTTCAGAATATTTTCGGTATGCGGCGCTAGTGTGCATGTAAAATATTTGTATCTGCTATAGCTTAAGGTCAGGAAGCAACTGTCATCGTCAAAATTGTACATGCGGCAAAGTTCTTCCGGATGGTGAACATGCAAATGTGTTTTGTTCAAAGCTCTCTCATTTTACGTCCAATTTTTGATCTCTTTGGGTTTAGCATAAGGGTTCTACTACTACTTTTAATTTCAAATTATTTCTTTGGTCAATTCTGAGAAAATCAATCATGATTCTTCAGAGTAAATTCTGAAAAATAGTGTAAATTTGGGTGAACCTTTGGTATATAAAATTTGAGCAATTTGCCTCTTCATATTTTCATTCAAATTTTTTTAAATGTTCTAAAAAGAACGAAAATTGGACGTTATTAGGGCGTGTCCTTAAACTTATGATCGGGAGTGTACGGTTTAATAAATTTCTCCATTCAACTGAGCAAAAGTGCCTCACTCTCCGTGCACACGTAAATACAGGGATTTTTTTGTTCTAGACGATAAGACATTTTGAAACTAGCCTAAATGAAAGGGAGGCCCTAAACATTAATTTGGTGCAAGTTTCAGCGATATTGATCTTTTAAGATAATGTTTTCCATCTGAGATACGTGTTACCACTAATTTATCAGAGGTATACAAGTGGAACGACTCACCCCAATTTATGCATCCACAAATCTGTATGCAAATCTTCACCAGTAAAAGAAATCCAGAATATACTTGTCTTATCCCACTTAGGCTGATATAAATTGTATTTTTATTTTTTATAATATTTGATATGCGAGAATTGCCCGCCAAGTTTTGAGACATTTTTGAACTACTGTTCATCAGCCGTCACGTATATCCTAGCGCCACGTAGTGAGAAAGTTATGTACTGTCGACCAACGAAAAAGTTTTGATCTCCTGGACAACTTTGCCGATGACAGTTTATCCGGTTTCAAAATATATCTTATGCGAGAATTGCACGTGTATACAAGTGCAATGATGTGAAAAAAAATGAATTTCTGTCCACCAGCCAAAAAGCCTTGGCTCCCTGAACAATTTTGCCGAAGCCAGTAACATTCTATTTGATCAGGATCTCGTGATATTTTATAAGTGAAAATTTCACGTGTATACTAGCGTCGCTTAGGAAATTCTCAATTATTGTACACCAAGCAATATTCTTTGACCTCCTGAACAACTTTGTCGAAGACAGTAACTTTCTATCTGGTCAGGATCTCGCAACAAACCACATGCGAGAATTTCACGTGTATTCTGGCGACACGTAGTGTGAAAATTCTGAACTATTGTGCACCAAGCAATAGGCATTGACCTCATGAACAACTTTTTTGAAGACAGTAATGTTCTACCTGTTCAGAATCTCGAGCTATAGCATACGCGAGAATTGTACACGTTTACTAGCGCCACGTGGTGAGAAAATTCTGGACTACTGTCCACCAGCCAAAAAGTCTTGACCCCCTGAACAAGTTTGCCGAAAACAGTAACTTTCTATCAGCTCAGGATCTCGAGCTATTGTATATGCGAAAATTGCACGTATATAATAGCGCCACGTAGTAAGAATTTTCTGAACTACTTCATCAACGACATCCTGAAAAACTTTGCCGAAGACAGTAACTTTTTATCTAGAAAGGATCTAGAGATATTTTATATATGCAATAATTTTACATGTATACTAGCACCGCGAAGTGAGAAAACTTTGAACAACTGTCCACCAACGAAAAGGCCTTGGCCTTCTGAACAACTTTGCCGAAGATAGTAACTTTCTATTTGGTCAGGATCTCGAGATATTTTATATGAGAATTTCACGTGTATACTAGCGCCGCGTATTGAGAAAATGTTCAACTATTGTGCACCAAGAAATAGGCTTTAATCTCATCAACAACTTTATCGACGACAGTAACTTTCTATCTGGTCATGATCTCGAGATATATCACATGCGATAATTTCACATGTATTCTAGCGCTACGTAGTGATAAAATTCTGAACTACTCTCAACCACTCAAAAGGTTATGATCTCTAGAATAACTTTGCCCAAGACAGTAACTTTCTATCTGGTCAGGATCTCGAGATTTTTCATGTTGTAACCAATTAAGTCAAATCCCACGTGGTACGGACACCGTTTACGAGGTTTCCATTCACATTTTCTCTATTATCCGCATTTTTTGGGGGTTAACTGTGATAAAAGTTTAGCTTGTTTAGTTAAAAACAAGTTTTTTTTAATGAATACTCGTTGGTTTCACATCGATTGGTAGCTCGGCTGCAAAATGGCAATGGAAAACTCACACTGTTGTACAAAGTACAACGCGCGAGTACTCGTGTTACAAAAGTTGGCGCGAGTAACGGAGGGTTAAAAGCGTTTTTCTCGGCTTGCTGATTTGTCCTAAGGGACGGGCTTGCCATGAGCGGCCGTCTCTATCTATGAATAGTCACCCACTCTATAAGTGTTCTGCATATACAGGAATGGCGTGGAGGCTAGTGCCCACAGCTTTTTCACGGCTGTCCTTCAACCAATTGCGCTTATTTTCTGTAGGTACCTAGTTTGAGATTGACCCTAATCACATTAAAAAAAAAATCAGTTGGATGGCACCACACACCGCGCTCTTCGAGATATTTGTGTATTCCAAATGTAGAACCATGGACCATGTTCTCTAAATATCGATACCCACCCCACAAATTATGTATATAGTACAACGATACTCACTCGGTGGATACTCGATGTAATCGATGTCGGTGAACACGGCAAAAGGCACAGCGCTGAAGAGGCTGACGACCCACAGGCCGGCGATGATTCGCACCGGACGCTGCAGCCCGGACATGGTGTACAGGTGCAGCGGATGACAGATGGCCAGGAAGCGCTCCATCGAGAAGGCCACTATCGTCAGCACCGACACGTACGTCGATGCCTCCGAGATGAGGGCCCGCATTTTGCAGAAGACCAGCCCCAGGTTGTACGGATACTGGTGCCAGTAGAGGCTGATTTCGTACGGAAGACCTGTGGGAGAAAGAGAGAGAGAAGGAAAGAGATACATTTCGGTTGACGTTCGGTTGGGCAAAAAATTGAGTGTCTATTTTATTATTTATTATTTTATTATTTGATTTATAGAAATGATCCTCTTGATGGACCCTGTGGTGGCGTTGCCATCATTATTCGTAGACGAATCAAACATAAAATTCTTTCTTCATTTGAAACCAAAGTTTTTGAAACTTTGGGAGTTTCTGTTGAAACAAAATTTGGACAACTTACGTTTATAGCTGCCTTTTTGCCATTCCAATGCGTAGGCCAGAAAAAGAATTTTCTCAAGGGTGACCTCCAGAAACTTACCCGTCAAAGGTCTAAATTCTTCATTATTGGTGATTTTAATGCAAAACACCGCTCATGGAATAATGCTCAAAGCAATTCCAATGGTAATATTCTGTTTGATGATTGTTCTGCAGGTTATTACACTATTCAATATCCAAACAGCCCAACATGCTTTTCTTCTGCGAGAAATCCCTCCACTATTGATTTGGTCTTAACTGATTCATGTCAACTTTGTAGCCAATTGGTTACCCATGCTGACTTCGGTTCTGATCACGTTCCAGTAACTTTTGAAATATCCCAAGAAACAATATGTAATCCCAACAGCTCTACTTTCAATAACCATAGAGCTGACTGGGAGAAGTATCGAACATTTATGGAATATAACTTCGATCCAAACATTCCTTTGCAAACCAAAGATGAAATTAATTATGCTCTTGAATCTCTGACTACTTCTATAGTTGAAGCAAGAGCTGCCTCAGTACCAAAATGCGAGGTTAAATTCGATTCAATTATAATAGACGATGATCTTCAGCTCTTGATCCGTCTTAAAAATGTCCGTAGGAGACAATATCAAAGAACACGCGATCCTGCCATGAAAATTATCTGGCGGGATTTGCAAAAACAAATTAAAAAGCGATTCTCTGCTCTGAGGAACAAAACTTTTGAAAATAATGTTTCTAAATTAGACCCGAGTTCCAAACCTTTTTGGAAACTCACAAAAATTTTGAAAAAACCTCAAAAGCCTATTCCAGCGCTTAAAGAAGGTGGTAAAATTTTGATCACAAATTTGGAAAAAGCTCAGAAACTTGCTAAGCAATTCGAGAGTTCCCATAATTTCAGTTTGGGTCTTACTAGTCCTATCGAGAATCAGGTTGCTCGGGATTTTCTGAATATTTTCTCTCGGGAAAATATTGTTGATGATTCCTGGGGGACTGATTTGGACGAAGTAAGGTCTATAACTAAAAAGTTTCAAAATATGAAAGCTCCAGGTGATGATGGAATTTTCTATATCCTCATCAAAAAACTCCCAGAGAGTACCTTGTCTTTCTTGGTAAAATTATTTAACAGATGTTTCCATTTGGCATACTTTCCTGATAAATGGAAAAATGCAAAAGTTGTTCCAATTTTGAAGCCGGATAAAAATCCAGCTGAAGCTTCTAGCTACCGCCCAATAAGTTTGCTTTCTTCAATAAGTAAACTTTTTGAAATGATAATTTTAAATAGAATGATGCTTCACATCAATACGAACTCATTTTTTTTGCAGATGAGCAGTTTGGATTTCACCATGGGCATTCAACTACTCATCAACTCTTAAGAGTTACCAATTTAATTCGTTCAAACAAATCTGAAGGCCACTCAACTGGAGTTGCTCTTCTAGACATAGAAAAAGCATTCGACAGTGTTTGGCATGAAGGTTTGATTGCTAAATTGAAAAAGTTTAATTTTCCACTTTATATTATGAAATAAGTTCAAAATTATTTGACTGACAGAACTCTGCAGGAAAATTATCAAAATTCCAAATCTAATCGACTACCTGTTAGAGCAGGAGTTCCTCAGGGTAGCATTCTTGGGCCTATATTGTATAACATTTTCACTTCGGACCTCCCTGATTTGCCTCAGGGTTGCCACAAATGTTTGTTCGCTGATGACACAGGCATTTCAGCTAAAGGAAGAAGTCTTCGTGTTATTTGCAGGAGACTGCAGAAAAGTTTAGATATTTTCTCTTCTTATTTACAAAAATGGCAGATTTCTCCCAACGCTTCCAAAACTCAACTTATAATATTTCCACATAAGCCTAGAGCTTCACTTTTGAAACCTAGTAGTAGTCACATAGTCACTATGAACGGAGTTCCAATTTCCTGGTCAAACCAAGTGAAATATCTTGGATTAGTACTTGTGTGTGTGTGTGTGTGTACAATCTAACCCCCACTGTCCGGCAGTGTTATTATGGAAGAAAACTGCTTTTTATTACCCTTAAATTAAAGCAGGTTTAGTCCGGGAGTTAGAAGGTGTTAGCTCTATTGCAGCTCCAGTGACCCATTTCAGAATGCCTGGTAATTCACGACCACTCCGAGGTCACTTTCACTTACAATAAGCCCCGCATGTTCACTCTACCTTTATCAAATGGATAATGGTATCATAAACACACTTCCAGATTCAAAAAATATTATTTCCAAATCTGGCACGTATATAGTTTGAAATTTGTTCAACTGTATTAAATCGATTTGAATGGACATTTCTTATCAATTTTGTTTCGAATACCTTTTGATTCATCTGCTGGCAGCACTTGCTGGCCCTTACCGGCGACCAACTCATCTGCCCGCAAATGCAACAACGTTTAAATCTCAAATCTCTTCGAACGTCCCTTCGAAAATGCAAGCGAGATATGTATAAGAACAATCTTCAACTGGAACGTACTCACCAAATCAATACATCCGGGAGCAAATTCCCGATGCTTATTTTCTCTCGCAAACCCGTCGTCGTCAAACGGCAAAAAAAGGAAACTCGGTGAGCAATTTTGTGAGACGGAATTTTCACTGACTATAAACCGCGAATTCACGAATTTCACTACCCCCAACTGCGAAACACGTTCAGAAGCACTTTTGGTACAATTTCGATCAATTTCTTTGGAAAACACAACCAAAAAAGTTACAAGCGAGCCAACATCAACACCGAATGTGCCGAGCTCTTTCACGCACCTTGCAGCGCGTAAATAAACTGAAATTAAAAATTATCACTCGCGATGCCACTAATTTATGGTCCGGGAGAAAATCAAACAACGCAGATCGCGACATCTCTTCTGATGCTTGCAAACATGTTGAATCACGTTTTCTTTCTTTATTCTAAAACTTCCCGGAAAGCGAGAAAACTACCAATCACACACGTATAAACGTCCGGGAGGTAGAGCGCCAGCGATAATCCGGCAATTGCAGCCGAAAACTATGAGAGCAAACGCACGCATCCTGTCGCAAAAAAGCCATGCAAGACGGATTCTTCATCGCCTTTAACTGGTTTAGCGCATTGGTCACAGGCGAAAGTCAGGCTGACTCATTTTCCAAAAGTGATTTAGAAACAGCGGTGGAGATGCTCTAATACGCAAAGAGGAATTGGATTCTCAAGATCGCCCAATGCTAGACAATATGTCTGATTGGATATTTTTTTCACTGTTTTCACAACACAAAATATGCTCTAATTAGATGATTATCGCAACGAACTGCACTTTCCACTAACAACCAGTACAATATTACAGGTATACCGAACGGAAAAAAACGAATAACGATAGCCCGTGTGATAAAAAATCGACAATTTTAGCAGCGCACAATCACGACGATGTGAATAACAACAACTGTCCTTTTCTCCAGTGAAATATCTTGGATTAGTACTTGACCAAAAATTAACTTTTATAGTCACATTGAGGGCATTCAATATATAAAATGTTTGTATCATCTTATAAACAAGAAATCCAAACTTTGCCTGACGAATAAACTTCTAATATTTAAACAAGTTTTTAGACCGGCCATGCTTTACGCTGTGCCAATATGGTCTAGTTGTTACATTACCAGGAAAAAAAGCACTTCAAAGGATTCAGAACAAAGTTCTGAAAATGATTTTGAAGTTGCCTCCCTGGTACAGTACTACCGAAGTACATAGAATTTCGAATGTTGAGACTTTAGAACAAATGTCCAACAAAATAATTAATAATTTCAGGCAAAAATCGTTGCAATCCTCAATTGCAACGATTAATTCCCTTTATACTTAGATAAGATTTAGTTTTAGTATTTAGTTTTAAGATATCAATTGTTATACTGACATGCAGGTTTAAAAAACCTGTTTAAAATACTGAATTGCCAAGACAGGAACAATGTAAAAACACTTAGCTATATATCATAACAATTAAGGCTGGTAAGTTACTGCAGTAACTGGAGCACCTAGGTTTAAATGAAATGTAATTTATTTTGAATTTGGAACAAATAAAAAGTAAAAAAAAAAAAAATGTGTGCCAATTCACAGGTCTGACACAGTATAGCCATAGAGATAACTCTAAGACCAGAAGGTCCCGAAGAAGCGTGCTCAACTTTTTGGCTCAGCTCTGGTACTATCTTCGGTCCCAAGCTAATCGATGCACCCCTAGAAACAAAGGAAAATCCACGAACCCCTCATTTTATCTGTCAAGCTTTCATAGCGAATCAAAACAAGCATTGTGTAGTACTAGAATTTTGACTACAATGAGGTACGTTATTCGATTTTTTTTTAATAATTACTTTATTTGTACAGGCTCAATCGAATAAACTTTACAGAGCCGAGTTATCCTTTCGGTTATACATTATTATTGTCTTATATTTAAAGTTAAATGAACTGGACCGAGTACTCGCAGTTGTCTCGAGGTTAGTTGAGATCTACAATTTTTTTGGATGGGAAAAGGAAAGAAGGAGGTTTGAAATGTGGTGTACGATACAAATATTTAATTAATCCTAAGACATGAAATTGTTTCTATTCATCTTGAAAACAAACATTGAGATAAAAAACCCACACGTACAAAATACAAACTAAACACAAGGTTAATCAAACTTAAAATCTAAGGTTAATATTCTTAAAGTTAACATATATGAGTTTCATAAAATCCCGATCGCATCTAGCCAAAATATCCCGAACTGGAATATTAGGTTGTCTACCTCGAGCCCGAAGGGAAT